GAAGTTATACGAAAATTGTCTAAAAATACGGAAAACAAATCGGATAAGCTGGTAACTTGTGAGTATAGGTTTTTCATAAAGGCGATTCTGATTTTACAGGTTCGATGAACGACGTTCTCTAGAAGCCGAGATATTCATATTTTTGGGGGTGTCCTATGATTTTGCAACGCACTGTATTCTTCAGACTATCCTTGTATTTAGCCCACCCCACATTCCTTGGATATTGACGATATTGACAAGCAGGGAAGCGTCGAATCTTCGGACATATCCTCTTCGATGACAAGAATTCCACATTTTCTGACTACTGGGATACGATTGTATAACATAGATTTCCTGCAGGCCGAACGCTTCACGCTTGCTTCACTGCACTTATCTATTATTTAGTTCTTTTTCCACGTTAGCAGATCCACCTGGTTACGAAAAGCTAGACCAGCCGCTGACCTTATGAAAGTCACCTCAACCTTCCTTCAGTGAAGTTTCACTTTTGCAAAGTTTGTAGAGCCTGATCGCGGTCGATCACTTCACCAAAGGTTCGTATTCTGTAGCAAAGAATCCGTTCTTTATCGTGCGTCACAAATAATTTTAAAAAATGTGTCAAACTAGATTGTGTCTAGATAATGTGTCAAACTAGTCCTAGAACCCTAACACATATGCTCGATATATAAAGGAACCGGCTCGTCCCTGACAGGTAGCTCGGACGCACATTCCACAACCAACCCTGCAGAAGTTGGACAAGATTGGCTACGAATTAGTCCTGCGAACATCCTACTCGGTAGACCTTTTGCCTATAATTTGTCACTTTCTCGACTACCTGGATAGCTTCTCCAAAGAGTTATGCTTCAAAAACCAACATGATGCGGAAACGACCTCCGCCGGGTTCATCGTCTCTAGAGCTCCAGTATTCTGCACTACCGGGCTGATTCAACGCAGCTATTATTGGCAGAGGTTTGTGGATTCTAACAGTCTTTACTCCAATCAAAAAGGTTTCGAATGAGCCGAGATACAGGCATTTGAAAATCAAGGTCGGAAAAAGCGCAAAACTTTCTTCACGACCTAATACTTCAATTTTCACCCTCAGGTATATAAGCTCGCGTCTGCACGTGTGAAGCAACATGGCGTCAATTTGCTCCGGTCATTGATGACGTAGCGCGTTTAGCCATTTTTGGCAGCACGACTCTGACTATGCATGAGCTCTCCCGTCCGCCGTTTCAGATGACTACGTAACGGTCCACGATCCGTCAAAGACTTGGTCGATCGTCCCGTGCATCATGCTCCTGTGGCAAATTCTTTGGATGTCACTCGTGTAGAAAGCTGTCGAATGTGCGTCAAATTCCAGTTGGGAGCATTCTATTTGAACTTACCAGGAAAGGTCATTTGGTCAACCCGGCCATTTGAAATGAGATGTATATGTGTATACGCGCCTTGGGACGCTGAGCTCAAATATGTGTTCCTGCTGAACTCTTCTCTGAAAGGAATTATGAAGCAGAAAAGCGCAGGGGCTGTGGTCGAGGCTCACGAAAAAGAGGTCAGGGGATCAACTCCCTGGCGAGTTTGTTCTTTTGCCGTTTGCAGTAAGATAGCTAGGAAGACTCCTAACATCGCTAGTCCAACATGCTTGCGTATAGTTAACAGTACAAAGAATTTAAGGGCAATTAATAACGAACTTGGGCGGCATCGCTCCTCACTACTTTGGGCGCTTGTAGCGCAGGCGCCAGGCATTTTTGCTTCGAACAAGTATGATATTCGTAATCAGGGAGCCAGACTCTCCCTTTGAGCAAACTTCTAGCGAATTCTGAAATTTTGACCTAACCTCGAAATCTTCCACCAATCCATTACAAAAGGCTGGCACTTGGGTAGAATAAACCTTTCCAACACTTTTCATAATAGACAAAAATTGTGTCTGGCTTGCCCGTCTGCATCATCCAAAGATCTGCAAAGCATTATTTCCTAATACAACACCTTCTCTCCCCTTCCCCGTCGTCCATGATCAACCCAAAAAAGTGGAGTTTGAGGAGTGGTAATCCCATCACTGCTCCGCTTTTTCTCAGTTAATTACTTTAGATTTGACCAAAAGCTGTTTTTAGGGGTAGTTTGATCCCTGAACCACTGTGCACTCATAGACAATTAGTGCTTAAATTTAAGAGGGTCTGCTTGCAAACTCTTCGTAGATGTAGCGTCGGGCGACCGTTGGTAAAATAACAGATTCAAAAAGGCTTTTCAGCCATGTTGGAAAAAAAGCAAAACACCAAACCCGTAAGGAACCGAACCCCGACCCTGACTTGAGAAGCAAGACCGCTACCAACTGCGCTACCGAAGCTCACCTCACGTGCCTCGGTTCTCCTTTCGATACTTTTATAATGCGGCTAACATGTGATTGCAGGCAAGACACTGAAAATCAAGGCAACAAAAACCCTCCGTAACTCCTTTCAGAGAAGAGTTCAGCAGATAATGAAAGCAGATTTGAGTTCAGCGTCTCATGCTGCGTACAGAAATGTGCACCTCATTTCATTTGGCCGGGTTGGCCTAATGACCTTTCCTGGTTAGCAATGAGTGGTTGATTACGTTTGCAGGGAGCACGTTGCCCCCCACCCCCTGTAGTTGCTGTACTTTTTGACTGCCCCCCCCCCCCAGTAAAAGATCTTCGTTGTCCGAAGCAAGAGTTTCAACTAACACCATAATTGCTTTTATTCATTTAAGACCATTTGCCATAGTATACTGTAAAATGTTCAACAAACTCTATATACAGGCACAACAACTTTCACTGAGGTATTTGCTAGGAGTTGATGAAAGACGAACGCTCAGTTGGTCGTCGTAACGTCAAGTGAGATGCAGATGACATTGGAATTTTGATGGTAACATGGTGCTGTAGTCGGCTCAATGGCGCACATCTGAAAAAAAAATTATTCGAAAAATGTGAGTGAACCACAATTTGCTGAACAGTCGAAGGATCCTATCCAGCAAGGGGTGAGCCACCAGGTGCGACAGCTCATATCGCTGAAATAATCCTATTTTTGCAGGGGAAGCAAGCTATGGATCGTGCGAAGCGGAAGCGGGAATGTGCGGGGTGGGAGATTGACCTACCACGACGATTTCCTCACTGCAGAAAGTAGAGTTTTGTAGGCGGCACTGCCCCCTCACCCTTTCCTCCCTATCCTCGTTATTGGATGACACCTTGATTGACTTTATCCTTTCCTCAGCAGCGGTGGGGGAGGCGGAGGGCATAGCAGAATCATTATTCTTCTTAACATTCTCACGCAAGCACTTCACGAAATGGACACGGCGCACAGCGATGAGTGGTAAACTGAGATGAGGGAGCATAGCGGGAAGCGATATACAGGCACCGCCATGGTGGGTTTGCATGCAGGGTCAACCGTCCGTTGGACAAAGTCCAACGAGGGGGTCGTATTCGGCCGACCGAAAAGGGGGGTCGTATTCGCAAAGGTCAACGTCGCAATACGTAGGTGAGAGGCATAACTTTCGAGTGCTTCTCCAACTACTAACCACAAACGAGTGCATGGCGCACCTCAGAGCAGAAGAGTCTACTGCAGTAAGTGTCCATATTGACTGTTCACGTACACAAATATGCTTCTGAGGAGAACCAATGTCTTCAAACTGAACCTAAGTTAGTAAAAGAGTGACCACTTGGGTAGATTGACTGCTAAAGGCTAACAAGAAAAGTTTGGGAAAAAAATATTTGCCTGTCGGCGACTTCTGAAAAGGGTTCAGCATCTGTGAAGCACAAAGCTCGTGCGATGTCACGGTATCATTATTCCCATAAAATTGAGTTTGAAGAGAGCTGTGAGTGTTTGAGTGTTGAAAACTTTTTCAGGAGAGTAGCTCCGAAAATTCATGAAAAAAAAACGGTCCAACGGGACGATTTTTTGAACGGGTCATTGTGGAAACTAGTTCAAGTATTCATTAGAAAGCTCTAACCTTCTAGTTTCTTCCAGGGGGACAAGAACTGCAAAAAGTTGAAAAGAAAGTTATAACAGTTCAAAGCCAAAAAACCAGCGCTCTGCCAAAAATCGGTCCGCGATTTCCCCAAAACGGTCCAACGGGGCGATTTTTTGACTCCATCAATTTTGAAAGAGTTCAGGTATTTTTTTAGAAAGCTCTAACCTTTTGTGTTGAATGTACTGCAATTATTTTTGTAAATGTACTGCAATTATTTTTGTACTGTGTGCCAAACGAGGTTTTTAAGATGGAATCTTTATTCACTGGCCTGACGTTTCGACCGCTTCGTCTTCTTCAGAGGCCTGGAGATTGTCTGAAGCTTTTGATTCGTTAGCTACTCGATCAACCGCTTACAGTATTCTCGACGTCAGAGAACGTCGAGAATACTACGGAGCACTCAGTGATGAAGACTTAACTCACCGATGATTCCACCGATGCGGAGCAGTAGCTCACGCCCTGTGTTAGTTGACGTCAGTAAAACGAATGAGCTCTACTCGTCTCGTGGTGCCATATATTTTCGAAATCTGTCAATTTGCACGTCGCATGATAGCTCGCACTTTGAGACAAAAGGCAAGAGCTCATTCGTAATCGACGGACATTCGTTTCGGCCATTCATTCTAGGTTTCCTTGCGAAAATCCAGAATGATTCCAATGCTTTTCTGGATGAAATCTCAGTCTCGTACGCTAACACAGAACATTTAACATCAAAGTCGTTCCCATTGTGCTCCTCAATCTTGTGCTTGCCAAGTGGTGTAGCTACATTACCACGCCTCTTCCCAGCTAGATGCTCTTGAATACGGATACCTAGTGCTCTCCCAGTTTCTCCAATATACGTGCTATTACATACCATCCTGCTTTTGAATACGGTTACCACTAGGTATCCGTATTCAAGAACATCTAGCTGGGAAGAGGCGTGGTAATGTAGCTACACCGCTTGGCAAGCACAAGATTGAGGAGCACAATGGGAACGACTTTGATGTTAAATGTTCTGTGTTAGCGTACGAGACTGAGATTTCATCCAGAAAAGCATTGGAATCATTCTGGATTTTCGCAACCTAGAATGAATGGCCGAAACGAATGTCCGTCGATTACGAATGAGCTCTTGCCTTTTGTCTCGAAGTGCGAGCTATCATTGCGACGGGCAAACTGACAGGTTTCGAAATATATGGCATCACGAGACGAGTAGAGCTCATTCGTTCATTGAGTGCTCCGTAGTGTTC